TTTTTGGTCACTTTTTGTAAGACCATAAGTCAAAATCTAGCAAGCCGATTTTGTTTAAATTTTCAGGAGTGAAAGGCTGCTCAAATTGTTAATTAATTTCCATTTGCTAACATCTTTCCGTCCACCTGCTGAAAGATACAGGGGAAACATAAGCTGGCGATTTCTTTACGAAACTTTGGGTTCACCTCATTCTGCTGGAGGGAGGGTTAAGTAAATTTTTGGTATTCAGTTTTGGAAGAGTAGGTACCTTAGTACTTCGGGACGTTTTTGAGATTTTTTTAATATCGCAGCCCACTATCATTTCATGAGTTATGCGATTTTATATAAAATATAGCTTTTGATGTCATTATTTCTTTTCGAAACAAATACTACAATTATGACAAATGTGAAAACATACTTAGAACATATTATACAGGGTCGTGCAAAAATATACAGTGTGTCTATTTTGCTAACCAGAGGTAACTTGGTTATTATTGAAGATACGAACTCGGTTAAATTATAGGGCAAAGTCGCGCAATTTTATGTCCAATAAAATGGCGGCTTGAAATATTCCAGCGAAATCCGGAAAAAACTGAAATTTTGTAAAATTGTATTTTTGTGAATTTAGTTGATGTGTTATTGAAAAATAAATGTCACTTCATCATTGCCACTTTTAGCGAGATTTATTAGATTACTAATAATAAATTTAAAAAAAAACAATTATAAGTAGACGTCATTAAAATGAAATAAAAACAAAACACATATTAAATGAAATTTAACAAAAACGAGAATAAAATTAACAAGGACTTTACAAAAGGATTATTAGTACTTGGTAGGCCCACCCCGATTTCTAAGCACATCCGCCACTCTCCTCGGCACACTATCTATCAAATCCCTTATTAAATTCTGGGGAATAGCTTCCCACTATTGCCTTACTGCATTCACCAATTCATTCAAATCTGCAAAACCATTTACCCGTTCAGCCAGTCTCAATTTCATTCTACTCCATATATGCTCAATCGGATTCATGTCAGGTGACTTTGCAGGCCACTCCATTCTTTCAATATTGTTATTCCTAAGAATTTCGGTAACAATATTTGCTCGATGTGGATGAGCATTATCATCCACAAAGACAAAATCATTACCAAAGTTGTTCTCATATGGAACAACAATATCTCTTACACAGAAATCACGGTAACGTTCTGCATTCATACTTTCTCTCATTAAAATTACCAGTTCAGTCTTCCCATTCCGATTAATACCCCCACAAACTGTCACGCCACCACCACCAAAGGCCTCTCTTGCTTCCATACATTCTGCTCTATATATCTCACCCGTTTCTCTCCATACTAATACATGCCCGTCTTTCTGATATAACGTGAATCTACATTCATCCACAAACAAACATCTCTGCCATTCAGCTACTCCCCAGTGTCTATGAATATTAGCCCAGTTTAGCCGTGCTCTTCGATGAGCTGGTTTCAATAAAGGACATGCTGCTCGCCTTCTGGCTCTCAAATTTCTCTCGTGGAGACGTCTTCGAATTGTAGATTTTGATGCTTCAACTCCTACCGCTATCCTTATTTGCGAAGAATTTAGAGTTCTGTTTCGTCGCACTGTCAAAAGGATTCTATTGTCATCCCGGGCAGAAGTAATTCTTGGTCTACCACCTGCATGTCTATAAGCAGCGGTGCCAGTGTTATGAACACGATCTAAAACGCCCTTTATTGTAGAGGGAGCTTTACCATATATTTTCCCAATATCTCTTAAGGAGTGACCTAGTCTGGTTAACCTAAATCAATATAACTCCTATGAATACATTTATTTTTTATAATGGCTTAAATTGTGATTTTACCTTATAATGTTCTCCATTTCATTCAGACCACCTACAATCAGGCCTAGGATGTATCCTCTCCTGTTATTTTAACAGCTATGTTATAGCTCAACATCTATACTTCTCTCTATTTTGACGTATAGAGTAAAAAGTGACAGACAACTTAACGTTGCTGTTAAAATAACAGAAAATGATACATCAAAAGCCTGAATGCCTCGTGTACTGATCAGCCGATATTAAAATTTTATCTGTTGGGTACTTATTGCAAAAAAAAGCTTGCTTATTGCAAGTATAAAAATTTGAACGCATTATTAGGCTGTTCCAGGTTAATGGGCAGAGCGGAAGACGATCTCTGCAGATTTTGCTCCGACGCAAGAGGCTCAAATTCCTCGAGTGAGCAACACTGTCACCAGAAGAAGTGGGCCAACGCCTACTCTTGCTGGAGACAAATTGAGATGTAGAGTCACGTACAAAATATCTGCAAAGGTAGCAGTGCTGAGCGGCTGAAAAACCGAAACGACTTCCCCAGCAATCTACAATCTTCAATCTAGGGTGTTCCAATTACAGTTTCCAGATGTTTTTTTCAATTCCAACGACAAGCCAACTAGGAAACATTTAATACTTTATAGTAATAAGTAAAATGATCGTTATCAATTATACGTAAAATACAATATCCAACAAATAGCCATCGCGACTTCTCTCACAGCACACAACTCTTTTGCCAACATTTTCGATCACATCTATGCACATTTACGGTGGTATCTCACGAATAATGCGCCGAATCACATCTTTCAACTCTTGAATTGTTTTGGGATTGTTCACATACGCTTTTATTTTAATGTAAGCGGCGCAACATATCACACAGCAAAATAAACCATTGACTTATTGCAAACACGGTTTGGAAGGTAAACTTCTTTCAAGAAATGGGGATGTCAATTGGCCGCCTAGATCTTGCGATCTAACGTCACTAGACTCTTATTTGTGGGGTTATATCAAAAGCAAAGCGTATTCTAACAATCCCCCAAACAATTCAAGAGTTGAAAGATGAGATTCGGCGTATTATTCGTGAGATACCACCGGAAATGTGCATAAATGTGATCAAAAATTTTGGCAAACAAATTGTGTGTTGTGAGAGAAGTCGTGGTGGCCATTTGTTGGATATTACGTTTCACGTATAATTGTAAACGATCATGTTACTTATTGCTATAAAGTATTAAATGTTTCCTAGTTTCCTTTTCATTTGAATTGAGAAAAACATCCGGAAACACCCTATATACTTTTGTATGACCCTGTATAATATGTTCTGTGTTTCCACATGCGCCATAATTGTAGTGTCTGTTTCGAAAGAAATAATTACGTCAATACCTATATTTTACATAAAGTCGCATAATTCAAGATAAAATCGTAGTGGGCTGCGATATTCAAAAAATCTCAAAAACGTCCCGAGGTACCAAGGTACTCTTCTAAACTGCATGCCAAAAATCTACTTTTAACCCTCCCTCCAGCAGAATGGGGTGAACCCAAACTTTTGCAAAAAAATCACCTACTTATGTTTCACCCTGTATCTTTTAGCAGGTGGCCGGAAATCTGTTAAGAACTGGAAATTAAATAGTAATTAGAGCATCCTTTCACTCCTGAAAATTTGAACAAAATCGGCCTGCTAGTTTTTGAGCTATAGCCTTTCAAAAAGTGACCAAAAATTGGGGTGTTCGAGTTCAATTGACGCGTAGTTTAGTTAAAATCGGCAAAAACTGAAAAAATTTCGAAAATTCCGTGTTTTCCTACACTTTTGACTAAGTTCGCATGTAGTCGAGTTCGAAAACTTGGATTATTGATTGGACCATCATCATAAACAGCACAGCAAAAAATCAAAACCACCGGATTTGATGAATGGTCGAATGTATATGGTCACTGGATTATGATTTTAATAATAATCTACCACACCACATACCCTGAGATTTTTTCCACCACCAATTTTTCACTTAATAGGGAGTTTTCGTTGCTCACAAAATGCGGTTCCGGTTAACGCTACTTGACAGCTTTGACATTTGAATCTTGTTTAGTCATTGAACTAAACAAACACTCTGGAACATTCGGCACACTAGCATAAAGCAGTGCGCCCATTTTGATATATATATATGCAACCCAGGAATACAGTGAGATTGTTGTCTCGCTCGCACTCATTACGATTAACGTAAAAGAAAGAAGAGCTTCTTCATCTTCCTAACCTCAATGCTCTAAACACTTTAAACAGCTGTTCTCAATAGCCGCCATAGTGCAGAGAGAGATGCAAATCCCACTTGTTTGTTGTCCTTCCTGGCACAAACCCTTGCGTTAGAAACATTATGCAGCCACCGTTCCAGTGTGTTTGCTTAGTTCATTGCGTTTAGTATATTGTAACCGCTAAATGACGGTATTGTACGGACGGTAGACATACGGTCTGTTCGCACAGAAATCACAAACCAGTCAGAGTGAATTTCATTGGTTGAAACTAGTTTTCTGACTTTTTCTGACTGTTTTCAACCAATGAAATTCGCTCTGACTGGTTTATGATTACTGTGGGAACAGACCTATAGGCGTTAACGAAAGAAAACGCACGCGCAGTACACAATTAAAAATATTCATAACCTTAACTGAGGTGATAAGTTGTCAAGTTGACCCAAAAATTTTCAAAAACGGGTTCCAATACAAACTCATATAGTTTTTGAAAATAATAAAAAGCAGAGTTCGTTTCTCGAATTCTGAGTGCTTCTAAAAATCCAAAGATATGGTTTTTTCGAAGCGAAAATTAACTTTGCACTGGTTTTGTTGAACCTTCCCCAAAAACGCCTCACTTCCAACAAGATTGCCTTTAATTATTTAATTAATTCGTCTACCATTTTGTAGCGAAATGTACAGAAAAACAGTAGTAAAATAAATCTTTATAACATATAAGCAAACAAAAACAAGAAATACAAAAACCAAATTAAAACAAGGTTGGTGGCACCGCGCTGTCAATTTTACCTTACTTTTGTTTGGGTTAGAGTTATAGTTTACGGTAACGGTAAGCGGGTGTCGTTTCTTGCTCTGGAGACTGTTTTTTTATCTGTCAAATAGCGGCTATGGCTACATATTCGTAAACCGTAGCTTTGAAATTTTTAAGAGCAGCAAAAACCCCCTATTAAATAAGAATAAACGTTACACTTACACTGGCTACAGAGATCTAACTGTGTGCTAGTTGTCGCTTCTGTAGAAGTAGTACAATCTGTTGTAGTTGATGCAGAACTCTTACTAGAAGGGAGTGTCGAAACAGTTGTGGTACTAGGTGGTTCATCGGGAATAACTTCTATAAATATCGAATATTTTCATTATGCCCAAGGTAACCAAATAATTATTTCGAGTTAACAGCCACCTATATAAATAATATACTTACCACAAATGCAAGTACATTTGGTTTGTTGCGGTTTACACGTGCCTTCCTGGGCTGATGAGTTGGAAAATCGTGTAGTTGTTACAGTTGGTATATTTGCGTAGTCTGTAAATATATGAATAATGTAAATATCCTTCAGAAAAAGAACCATTCAGAATAATTATTTTGATCTAAAACATCCTGACTTGCCGAAATCAGTAAAAGCCTCAAAGAAACAAACAACTCTTGTCCAATAGGCAGAACGAAGAACAATTTCTGAAATACGAAGTTGGCAATTCGCATTGATATGAACTATATAAGAAACAAATAAGGTACCTACTCTCGGATTTCGCTTTTCAGGTGGTGACAGGATTTTTCCCTTGGATGATTTTTTTTGTTGGATATGATCTTTGTTTATCGTATAAATTACAGTGTCTTCAATTTTAATGGCCTGCAGACTTTTCAATTAAAATTGATGTAAAATTTTCTTGCCTCGACTAGGATTTGAACCCAGGACTCTCGCATATCCAGTGCAACGCTCTACCAACTGAGCTACCGGGACCTGTTTCATTTCCATCTTGCCGATCAAGTCTTTCATCAATTTTAAATTGTTAGTTGTGAAGACCAACGGCAACCTTCGGCTGTTACCGTTGGTATGGGAGTGAGATACAAGGTATAAGGGGAACACATTCACATATTAATGGTTGTTTGGAATGCATTATCCCTTCAACCACGGATGCGTCGTCGACATATAGCGACATCAGCAGGCATCGGAATGGGACGCCCAACCATCAATATCAAATTGATAAAAGACTTGACCGACAAGGTAGAAATGAAACAGGTCTCGGTAGCTCAGTTGGTAGAGCGTTGCACTGGATATGCGAGGGTCTTGGGTTCAAATCCTAGTCGAGACTAGAAAATGTTTCATCAATTTTAACTGAAACGTCTGCATGCTATTAAAATTGAACACACTGTGAATTATATAACAGACGACAAAACTTCAAAAAAAAAAAATTACCAATAATAAAGTATTTGTAATGGTAATATGTTGGAACATGAAGAAAACTGCAATTGAGATGATGAAGGGCATAAAATTTAACAGAATTATTTTAAAAAAAAACAACTTTTTAACTCCTTATGTGTGTATGTATGTATGTATATATGTATGTATGTATGTATGTATGTGTTGGAGGTGTCAGTTGCACTGCGACCAAGGTTGATCTATTGTACCCCTCCTTCTGCTGCTAAGTTCGGGTTTCCTGCTTAAAGCAGCCCCTCTAGTCCTATTTTGTTTTGCTATGCTATTTTTTCGAGATGGGTTTTTGAAATTGTTTGTTTTGTGTTCAAAATACGGATGTTTTCAATGTCAACATAGATAATGATAGAACTGATATAATATTGTAATGTGATAGGTCTACAAAAATACACTCTCTCTAAAGTTTTTCAAATAAACGATTTATGTATGGTACGAGGAAAATGGTAATAATTATAATATATCTTTGAGATCATTGGTTTGTTTCCTCCTAGACTTCTTATGTTTTTATAGTATATTCAGTTGCCATTTTTTATAGATTAGGTGGCATTTATAAGCTACATATTTTTTGACCTACAGATCTAGTTCACTTCTAAGTCTCACTGGTCTGTCAACTTTCGGTTTTTTGAGATTTGCTGATCTGTTTTAAAATCAATTGATTCTGTGTTGTTTTGGATACTTTTTTTAGCACAATCCAGTGACGTACTCAGTTTTTTTCTATTTCGCTTCGATTTCGAGATATTGACCAAAGTCCGATTTTTTTTTAAATAGGACACTCTATATATTAATAGCTAGTTATGAGTTATGTGTGCCATTTGTGGAAACATGCTGACCATTGCATCGCCGACATAAGCAGTTTCCTAAGAATTGTGTATCTTTGAAACCAGGATGCCCCATGGGAATAAACTTTTAATTTTTAGATTAGACATAGACTTTGAGCTGTTCACACATATTTTTGCATTTATATTTTAAACTTGTAATTTTTAATTAAAGTGAATTATTAAAATTGTCACTCTATGAAGCAAAGTCAAAATTACAATTTTTACTCGAATTGAACCCAACATTATAGAAATATTAAATATCCCTGTAACAATACCAAATGGCGACATTAGTATTTACAAAACCTCGATGTCCAACTGTATTTCAAAAGAATGCTGAACAAGTGCGAGCAGTAGAAATTCATAACAATACTGATAGCGTCCAGGGAATATCTTTGTACAACCCAATTCCCGTACAAACGTTCAATAAAGCCGATGTTGAAATTTATAATATTTCTATAGAAAACACACCTAATGAACTCCCTAATAGAATCGATATTGTCGATATCATTCGAACCCAACAATTAAACGAGGAAGAGAAGTTTCATATAGAAAAATTATGCCACAAATATTCGGACATATTCCATCTCGAAAATCAAGCTTTGACCTTCACTAACAGAATTAAAACTACTGAGGAACTTCCGGTCTATACCAAATCGTATCGATATCCGTTTATACACAAACCCGAAGTAAAAAACAGATCGGTGACATGCTGGAACAAAATATCATTAGGCACAGCGATTCCCCCTGGTCCTCACCAATCTGGATCGTACCCAAAAAACCGGATGCCTCGGGTAAGAAGAAATGGCGGATCGTAGTGTATTAACGGAACATTAACGCCAAAACCATCGACGACCGTTATCCGACACCTAACATAACGGACATACTCGACAAATTAGGCCGTTGCCAATACTTTTCTACCCTAGACCTCGCGAGTGGATTCCATTAGATAGAGATGCATCCCGATGACATAAAAAAAGACCGCATTCAATGTCGAGAATGGGCATTACGAATAGGTACGAATGCCCTTCGGTCTCAAGAACGCTCCGGCCACGTTTCAAAGGGTTATGGACGGTGTCCTTAAGGGCATACAAAACCGAATATGCTTCGTATATATGGATGACATTATTGTCTACTCAACCTCTTTACAAGAACACATGATAAACTTAAAATCAGTATTTCAACGACTACGCTAGTCACCTAAAATCCAACCCGATAAATCAAAATTCCTAAGAAAGGAAGTGGCATAAAACCAAACCCTGACAAAATCAAGGCCTAACAAAATACCAGATCCCAAAAACAACAAGAGAAATCAAGGGATTTCTCGGACTTCTAGGCTACTAGCGTAAATTCATTCCGAATTTCGCCAAAATAACAAACCCGTTTACCAATTGTCTCAAAAAGCACGCGACCATTAATGTAAATGATCCCACCTACGTAAAAACATTCGAAGACTGTGACGTATTATTAACTAACGAGCCGCTGTTGCAATATCCCGACTTCTCCAAAGAATTTAACTTAACTACAGATGCAAGCAACTTTGCCATAGGTTGTGTACTCTCACAAGGTCCGATAGGACAAGATAAACCAATAGCTTACGCATCAAGAACATTAAATTCTGCCGAGCAAAGCTATTCAGTAATTGAAAACGAGCTCTTGAGTAGGTATTGTCTGGAGAACGCGCTATTTTAGACCATATTTATTTGGGAGGAAGTTTAAAATCGTTACTGACTATCGACCACTCCAATGGCTAATGAACTTAAAAGAACAAAGTTCACGCTTAGTTCGATGGCGTCTGAAACTCGAGGAATTCGACTATCAGATAATTTATAAAACAGGGAAAAAAAATACAAATTCTGACGCGCTATCAAGAGTCGAGATAAACGCGAATGAAGTGAATAATACTTCACCAACACCACCTGAAAATAACGACAACAACCTTGACTCAAATTCACTGTCTGTTCTGCACTACATGCAAAAATACAAGTTCTGCAGTACATGCAAGAATACAACGATAACCCCGTTCTACACAACCCGCTTCCGAGCACAAGTCGCGGACTCAATGATCAAATTAAACAGCTTTTGAAAATAATGAAAAGAATCCTGCTGTTGCGACCGACAATCAGTCAATTACTGGCCACGCTGACCCTGACAAATTTAATGATAATGACACCGTACATACCGATTCTGAAAACTCCATTTTATCTATTCACATTAATGAAAAACCAATGTTTTCTGTGTCAAATAGTCATTATAAAAATCGAAAATAACCCCAGAATTGAAATGAAGAAAATCTTCCAAAATCCTGTAAATAGAACCCGATGGTATATTTACGTAACAAACGATTCTTTCCAAGCACAAATTAGCCAATACATAAAAGAATATGTAGACCCAAAGAGGCAATACGTCTTTCTTTTTCAAAATGACGAAGACGAAATACTGTTTAGACAAATATGTAAATTTATACCGCAAACATTTTAAATACGCATCTTACAAGTTTTTGAAATCTAATAAAATCCTTTGTGATATAACTAAGGAAGATAGGCAGAAAAATCTCATTAAAAACCAACATGGAGGTATCACCAATCATAGAGGTATTCACGAAACGATTGACCAACTACGTCTAAAATATTATTGGCCCAAAATGAATGACGATGTCAGAAAATTCATAAATGGTTGCTCAATCTGCCAACAAGTAAAATATGATCGTGTCACCCACCAATAATAAAATTGCAATTACCATCCACGCCTAAAAAACCATTTGAAACCATTCATGTAGATACTTTCAAATTTGAAAATACTGACGCAATAACAATTTGTGATAGTTTATCGAAATTTTGACAAGCCTATGTCCTACCAAGCTTATCTGCCCTACACGTGTATCAATCTCTCTTACAGTTTGTCCCAAATTACAAAATCCCAGAAAACATCATATCTGATAATGGTACCAAATTTAACCAAAATCTCCTTAAAGAATTCGCCAAACTTTATAAAATCAATTGGCACTACACCTTGCCCTTAAGCCCGAATAGCAACTCTATTGTTGAAAGATTTCATTCTACATTATTAGAGCACACGCGGACTCTAGTTTTGTCCAAACCAAACCTTAGTCCATTTGGAAAATTAAGCTTTGCTATTTTAGGGTATAACAATTCAATCCATTCAGCATCAAAACAGGAACCAATCGATTTGAGTTTTAACCAATCGATATTGATAACGATACCCAATTAATTAATCACGAATTAAATAAACATGAAGAGATAATGTCAGAAATGTCGACAAAATGCGCGGGCATAAAGAAAAAGTAATTTCTAAAGCCAACGAAAAGACCCTCTCCAAATTCAACCCGGAACAATAGGTTATAAAAAACTAACCGACTGCCAGGGCAAAACAAATCCTTTATATAAATCAGAACACGTCTTACGAAGTAATGACTTAACTGTCACTACCACGCAAAATACTTATCACAAACAAGTATTCAAAAATCCACGAAAATTTACTGACCAAACGCTTTTACAGGTTCATGACACTACTTCACCTGACGAGGACACAGAAAGTTCAAATACAGAATCTTGACAACAATCCTGGTATACTTCCCTTCAAACTAGGAACTGCCAAGATGAAAATACCCACCTTCATATTCTTACATTACATCGATTGACATCTTTGCAAAAGCAAATTGATTCTATAACCTATCAATATGAAAAGCTAGAAAACGTCATAAATTCTTATTTAATTGCGCACAGACTTCCGTTACTTGAAACTTATAAACACTTAAACTAAACTACGAAGTAAACGTAGTCAATCAGAAATTGAAATCAATCAATCCAGGGCATAGATCAAAAAGAGGCTCAATTAACCCTTTAGGCTCACTTGTAAAATATATTACTGGTAATTTGGACCAAGAAGACGCAGAGGAAGTACATGATAATATTTTGGAACTCAAAAGTAAACAAAACAAAATAGTTGAAAAAGTAAACAAACAAATATCTTTAACCTCTAACCTAATGACAAGTATCAATCAAACAATGACTGTATTTTTCAAGAATCAAAAAGCAATCGAAAATAAAATTAATGCCATTGCTAGTGATTTACAACAAACAAAATCCAATTACGTGCATTTCCTAGAAATTCACGAAATAATGGACCAAATTAAGTTAAATTTGGACTCTGTGCTAAATTTTCTAAACGATATAGAAAATGCCATAAGCTTTGCTAGTTTAAAAACCTTACATCATAGCATTATTCGACAAAAAGAATTGAAAGAAATCATTAAAGAATTTCACAAAACGAATACATGAATTATTACGAAGTCATAGAAACTAATGTTTTTGCGATAGAAAATAAAATCGTGTTTTCACTGGATTTTCCTCTCGTGCATTCAAATACTTCCGATTATTACCGCCTCTTTTCCGTACCTAATAAAAATCAATCCATCATAATCCCACCTTCGACCTACCTCACCCTAAGTACGGACCTTTACCAATACCAAAATGAAGAATGCATTGACCTCAAACAAACTGTTTCTGCAAAAACAATCGACTTCTACCATATACACGAAAATCCTGATTGTATCACGTCACTGCTGACACTAAGCAACAATTTGGACCAAATGTCAACAAGTACCAGTACATATCCAAAAAGCCATGATGGAAGAAATCGATTCCGCCCACTACATTGGAATCTTTCCGGAAAAAAAAAAGAAAATAAAAATGCCGAAATATGGTGTACAAAAATGAAAAGGACATATTTCACGGTCATCCAGTCACCCTCAACGAAATAAAATCAGTCCAAATCCCAGTATCAAAGACCGAGAAGATCAAATTAGAGAAAATCGGATGAACTTCAACTTCGGAGTTCGATAGAAGATTTTCTAGAATTTACCAAAATTCACATGAATTGGCTTCCATGGATCTTAATAGCCGCAATATTGATTTGCGGAATATATTTCGCAATCAAGAACAACAAAGAAAATTTCAAGAATCCTGAGAAAACCTCCCGCTACTGAGACAATAGACGAAACACGAGTGATTCCACCTTCGAGTTCCTTCTAAGGATGGAGGAGTTATATGTGTGCCATTTGTGGGAACATGCTGACCATTGCATCGCGGACATAAGCAGTTTCCTGAGAATTGTGTATCTTTGAAACCAGGATGCCCCATGGGAATGAACTTTTAATTTTTAGATTAGACATAGACTTTGAGCTGTTCACACGTATTTTTGCTTTTATATTTTAAACTTAATTTAAAAACGGTTTCTTTATTACCGGAAACATAAAGAGCTCATTGGTTAGCTGATTTGATTTCAATGATATAACTTACGATAGGTTTATCTCTAACAGTTTTCGAGAAAAAAAATTATATCTATTTTTCTTATAAGGAACAATGTGTTACAAAAGGACTTTATATCTGTGAGGAAAATCAGGAAAGTCTCTTTAACGTTTCTTATGACAAACAGATATATCTATTTTTTTTAAGCTCGAAAACTGTTAGAGATAAACCTATCGAACTTCATATCATTGAAATCAGCAAAAGCAGAGCTATCCAATGAGCTATTATTATAAGGCTGTCGTATTGAAAAAGAAAAAAAAAAACGAACTTGTGTCAATATCTCAACATAAGAGCGAAATAGAAAAAAACTGGTCGGCCACTGAATTGTGCTAAAAAAAAATCCGGAAAATGTTTTGACAGAAATAAAAAAAATTGATAAACAAAAAGCTTTTCAGAATAGGGAAAAATCGAAAATCGCTCAGTTTCAATGGGAGATATTGCTACGGTTTTTGACAATCGACGTTTCTCGGAAATCGATCTAACTCAATTTTTCTCTATCTGGTCTTGAAGTATGCAGCACCCTGTACTTATAACACCATCGTTCATAGGCACTTTTAGAGCTCCAAAAATTTAGACGGCATAACATGTTACTCAACGCATTCGATGACCACCACGAATTTCAAGGTACCTATATTCAATTTTCTTTGTAAAATATTCAAAGAATTTTTTTATACACAACATAAAAAATATAGAAATTATGGCACTTTTGTGGCCTTAGTAAGTTTATGTATTGCTGAATACTTACTGTTATCACTTGCAACGACTAGTATTGATAGTTTTGAAGTCATTATAATGAACACTAAGCACTTCCACATTTTAAACGGCTTCTCAATCTTCTATCAGGACAATTCAAACACAACTAAAAAAATTATTTTGATTACCTTTGTTAAATATATTGTTTTGATGACTCTTTCAAGGATTAGGATAATCCTCTGACTTATAGGGATGGTGCAATAACATTTCGAACAAAATACAGTTGCGCTAATCCCCAAACAATCAAATCTTGTTTATTTTGAAAGGTTTTCAAGGAAAATTGAGAATTTTGCTTGATCCCAGATGCAGATAAACATGTTAGTGTTGATTTTCACTATGAGGAATTTCTTTGAGACTCAGGAGGCTTCAGAAGTAAAACATAACTATATCTCTCCGAAAATTTAGACAGCGTCATTGTTCGAGATGGCTTTAAAATGGCAAAATCAAAATTGAAAATTTCGAATCCAAAAATAGCCGTCATACCAGAGAAAGAAACATTGTACTCGGAGACCTCTTCGTGACTTCGAATAACTACCGGTAGCTGATAACAACTGTGATAGTACCTAACTGTGATAATAATATTTGCAATAAGTAAGCGAAACTGAAATATTTACTAGACGCCAACGGAAAGATCAATATCTCTCATCAAAGCCAGTATCAAGTATTTTAAATCAGTATATTCAATTAACTAGTCAAGCTTGTGTTTTGGGATACCTACGTGAAATTTCTCAGGAAGAAACTACTTCAATAATACTCAATTATAAATGGAAAATTAGAGATATTAATTTCCCTTGATCTCCCCAAACCCAACAGTAGAATGAATACCTATTTGGGTATGAGGTTATGGACAAAAAATAAGGTCGGACTTTTATGCATTATTTTGCAAGTGCGTATTTTTCAGCTGTCTTAAATTAGTATTGAATATATCAATAGTTGGAGTACTATTACAAGTTTCACACATTGTATAAAGTGGAGAGTACTTTAAAATATTTAATCTAGGCATTCCCAACAAACACAGTACGTACTGAAGACGTACATTTTAGGTCCGTTTTACGTCGGTTCGTCGGGGATGTAAAAATACGTTTTGACTACGTACGTAAAAGGCTGTATTGATATACAGACAAAAAAGTACGTACTAAGAACGTACGTGAAAATCTATATTGTGTACGTCTTGTAAAAGACGTACATGTTCGTTTCAAAGACGAACAATACAGGACGAGCTGGATCATTCCCATCTATTCATGATCTTTTATTAATTGCTGACTCGATTTCTGATAATAATATATTTTTTAATAATATGCAATTTCCAAGGAAAAGATACGGAAGTGATCCTTCCAAATTAATCTCTAAACCCTAAACCCAAAAATGCCGGTCAGGCCTTAGACTTAAACTTGAATAAGGCAGGTCATATAATCAAGGATTTATATTTCATCTAGGTACCTGACCTGTGACCCTAATAAATTGTCAAATGTTGAAATAAACATGAAATAAACCAAGAGAATGGAAAACAGGAAGGGACGCCGGCCACTTGCATCGGCAGGGTGCAGTGTTGCCAATGACCCGATAATTATCGAAATCTATAATTTTGACTACGATTCAATAATCGATAATCACAAGCTAAATCTACTATAATTTATTGAAACTACAATTTCAATGTATATTTTTAAAATTTTTGGTTGAAAATTAAAAATTTATTTGGTTGGTGGTTTTGACGTTTCCCAGCTAGAAATGGATTGAGCTGGCAACACCGTTTGCCTCCTTTGAGTTGAGGCTGTGGTTGTTCCAATCTAAGGTTGTTCCTGTCTGATTTTGCCTTTTTGGTCTTGTATGTGTAGCGTGTAGCTCGTTTGTAGTGTGGTGTGAGGTCGTTGTTTTCTTCTATTTTTTTTTTCTTTTACCAAGTAAAGTGAGGCGGGAACCATTTTGTTTTGATTGCAGTAACGCCAGCAACGTGTTTAGCTTTGTTTTTTGTGTATAATAATAATACTTTTACCAAGATTTTTACTGTGTGAAACTTTTCTTGATTTGTGCCCGTTTACAATTCTCTCAATGTTTGTAGGTTATACCTACCTATTTTTTTTTATATTTACTGTTGTTTAAGGTTAAGGTTAAGTTTAAGGGTATGTTATATTTTATAATTGATCTTATGTTATTTATATTTTTTAGTTTTTTAATGTAGTTGTTAAGATATTTATTGTATAAAAATTGCCACTTTAAAATACAATATGTATATCCTGTTCACAATCCGATGTCCACAGGTTCAGGTAAATTTATCACCTTTCCCTATCAAATAGCATTGAAATGTGATTTTACCTGTACCTACCTGTGGACATCGGATTGTGAAGGGATAATTGTTTTATTTTTCGCTATAAACATACATATAAATACCTACATATGTACTTCGTATATGATTTTCCCATATATTTTTGCAAGCCATCTGAACAGGTTAATTGAATAGGTACCTATCAAAAAGGTGTAAATACAACATTTGTATTTACATCTTTTTGATACCTACCTATCCAATCAACCAGTGCCGGTGGGGTGTAAAAATATATGGGAAAACCCTGTACCTACGTCCCAAACACATGCCTAAAAAGCTATACTAAATACGTTTTACATTTTACATTTTTAGGTCCCGCCGACGTACGAGGGACGTCTTTATGACGGTCGTTTTCCACAAAATAGTGCGTCCCACGTACGTACATTTAGGTACGTACTCAGTACGGCTTTTTAGGTACGTATTTGGGACGTACATTAACGTACGTACTAGCTGGGAAACGTCAAAACCACCAACCAAATAAATTTTTAATTTTCAACTAAAAATTTTAAAAATATGCATTGAAATTGTAGTTTCAATAAATTATGGTAGATTTAGCTTGTGATTATCGATTATTGAATCGTAGTCAAAATTATAGATTTCGATAATTATTATCCGGTCATTGGCAACACTGCACTCTGCCGAGGCAAGTGGCCGGCGCCCCATCCTGTTTTCCATTCTATTGGTTTATTTCATGTTTATTTCAACATTTGACAATTTATTAAGGTCACAGGTCAGGTACCTAGATGAAATATAAATCCTTGATTATATGACCTGCCTTATTTAAGTTTAGATCTAAGGTTTAATAATAAGAATTTTCCATGTCAACCTGACCGGCATTTTTGGGTTTAGGGTTTAGAGATTAATTTGGCAGGATCACTTCCGTATCTTTTCCTTGGAAATTGCATATTATTTAAAAATATATTATTATCAGAAATCGAGTCAGCAATTAATAAAAAAATCATGAATAGATGGGAATGATCCAGCTCGTCCTGTATTGTTCGTTTTTGAAACGAACATGTACGTCTTTTACAAGACGTACGCAATATAGATTTTCACGTACGTTCTTAGTACGTACTTTTTTGTCTGTATATCAATACAGCCTTTTACGTACGTACTCAAAACGTATTTTTACATTCCCGACGAACCGACGTAAAAAGGACCTAAAATGTGCGTCTTCAGTACGTACTGTGTTTGTTGGGTAGAGCACCATGATGAGTTAAAATGGTGCTTTGATGTTCGGAAGTGGATAACAGACAGTATACAACTTTCGTAAGGCTAACTTTTCAGCTTTATATCTACGACACTCGAACACAGACTGGGGTTTTTTGAATGACTTTGAAGACATAGACCATATGAGGCAGCAGCTATACATATATATTTACGGCCTCTTTGATGAACCGGTTCCTAGGTGTTCAAATAATCCCAAAAAGCGCCATTTTCCTCCTTATTGGTTCACGCTTGACGCCAATTCCTAGCGTAATGCACCACCACAACCATAATACTGAGTATGACTCTATGCAATCCATTTCGCAAGGTTTCTCAGACTATTTCAAGAGCGTTTTCATCACTAGCCCTATACAACTAACTCAGAATCATACGGTGTACAATAACTCCCCCTGCATAAACATTACAGATTTTTCCGAGATGGAAGTTGAGAATGCTCTTAGAAAACTTAAACCCAAACTAACAGCGGGTCCCGACGCCATACCTAGCTTTATTGTTATTCTTGCGGTTTCTTTGTGTAGGCTATACAACAAGTGCGTTAACGAGTCGAAAATACCCTCCTCGTAGAATATCAGCAAGGTGTGCCCCATTTTAAAATTTGACAGTAAATCCAATATTAAAAACTACAAACCTATAACCATAATTAGCAACTTTTTAAAAGCTTTCGAATTTCTCTTACATAAGTCTGGTCCAGAGTATCTTATCACCCAATCAGCACGGCTTCATTCAAGGACGTTCTACTATTACCAGTCTTCTGTCGATAACACAAATCATTTCCCAAACTATTGATGCAGGTCAACAGCTGAATGTCATATATACAGATTTTTCCAAGACGTTCGACAGACTTGACACTGGCGTGCTGTTAACAACCTTGGAAAATTTCGGTTATAACATACCCTTATTGAAGATTTCTATTCAAACAAGTGAAAGCAGTTGCCATTAGACCTTGAAAGGGATCATTACTCCTGACGCGGTAAGGCCGCAAGCTTCTTTCTAATCTTTCTGGTCTCAGTGTTCTCTTTTCTAACGTTCTAAAAAATTGTCGAGAAAATCGGATAAAATTTCCAGTGAACTCGGTATCGAACTGATTCTGTAATTATTCAAGAAACTTTAGTACGAGCTTTTGTTATTTACGTGTTAAAATTTACCCATACACTTTCAACCGGGCTGACTATTGTTCCGGTTTTTACCTATGTAAACTTTGCCTGTGATTTGTGATTGTGAAGCAATAGATGGTGTTTTGTTAAAGAGCTCGCTCTTTTGACTTTCATTTTCTTCCCTTTCTAATTATTAATACAGTCCACTAAAAACACACAAAAAAACTCTCTTTTTTCTGGTAGGGGTAGCCTGTTGCCCCTACAAGTACCTATCTAGAAGCATAGCATTCCACAGACTGCATTGATGCAACGCAGTCTTTAAATACAGAAAGCAATTTAACCTAACAATATCTCAAAGTTTCAGGGCTTACCTAAAATTTACTCAGCATTTGGTCAGATTAACTCTATCATTCAATACTTTTTAATATCAGGGGCCTAAACATTTCCACTT